ATTTTTTACAGAGTGATAGGTGGTTGATTGTTCAAAGGGGTCTTGAGGGGTTGTACCGAAAAGAAATATTTAAGTGCGGTCGTATTTCAAAAAAAATTCTCCCCCAACGTGCTCTGGTTCCAAACATATCAGGCCAAATTGGAAAAAAGGGTCCGATGTTAAACCAGGAACTAGTATATCAAGATCTGTTCAACCACCCCCGCGGGCATGATCGCTAGCGCGTTTTCTGAACGCTCTGCTTTCTCAATTCGTGTGCTGAACTGCGTGAAAACCAACAACTTCAGGCCTGGGCTTTGGGCTTTACTGGTAAGAACATCACAACAGCTATCATGGATGACGGCGTTGATTACATGCATCCAGACATCAAGAACAACTTTGTGAGTGACGTTTGCATTGGTACCTTCCATCTACGATGATACGGTTCAAATTTATTCTTTAAGAACGCCGAAGCCAGTTATGACTTCTCGTCCAATGATCCGTTCCCATATCCAAGATACACCGACGACTGGTTCAATTCGCATGGCACCAGGTGAATATTTTTATTTGGAACCGATCAAGCATTTCTTCCGGATATACTTCAGAGATTGTTCCCTATTATTTTGTAGTTTAAAGAGGATATTGTCGCAGTCCGACAAGGCGGCTTTGGGAAGAGGGGAAAGATCTCACTTGCGGCGTTCTCACAAAGCTTGCTTCCTTCAGAGCTGATCGTCAGGCAGTGCAGGGCCGCACTAGGATAGTACGAGGGGTTTAGACGAAAGAGAGACAGACAAGAGAGGAGAGCGGTATGGGAATACCCAAATGTTCTGGGACACCTCGCACAACCCTCACATGTGCACCATCCCTAAACGGCCCCTACTGTCAAAAAACACAGCCGCGCTGGGCTCATTTCACACTTCTTGACACCACTTCGCGGATTCTGGATCAACTATGCATAAGTAGGAGCTTGTCTGAGCGCTTTCAAAGGGAAACACTCGATGCCTCCGACTATGTCCCACTAAAATCCGAGTTCGGTGTGAACTGCACTCCCCAGGGCGCATTTTACTGCTAGGCGTTTATTTACGTCACTATCACGACGATGCAGAAGTTTTTCTCCATGCGGATTCACCCTGATGCGATTTAGGAACACTGCATTGAAAGGTATTTATGGTGTTTTCCGCTGACGCTGCAGTGACCTTCTTTTATGTAAAGGTGAGTATAGCGAATCCGAAGAAGTAGCCTTAAACAGAGAGGTGGAGGGGGGGCGGGGGGGGGTGGGGGGGGGTCTCGTTAATGCGCTAGTAGTGGTCAACCAGGGTGTGCGTCATGGATCCTTTGAAGTCGATCAAATGGGCGCGGTGTGCATCTGCTGTCACACAACGTCCATCGATTGTTCCGGCAGCTGCAACCGTAAATCTCCTGGACTGCATCACAGTGATCTTGTGCAATTCATATGCTATGCTGGCATTAATACCTAGGTATATAGTGGTTTCGAATAACCTTAACAGGCTCCTGTTTTCTATGAATTTCGAAGTGTTTTCAGTGGCTTTGTTACTCTTTAAACGAAATTTTGAGAATTTTCCAGGTGTGCCGGCGAGATTGCAGCTGCTCGTGATAACGGAGTATGTTTGGTTGTGGGGTAGTGGATTATGACGCAAAGTAGCCGGATATTCGCATTGCTTGATTCAGCTTATACATGACGATCTTGGTTGAGTCTGTGAGCGATGCAGCATAATCTTGCTTTTATTATCGTAGAACCTATTATTGCAGGATAACTCTCGCAACCAAGAAAATAGCTATCGGAATTGGTGAACTTAGTCAACAATGCATGTATCAGGAAATCCTTGCAAAACCCCCTCCTAAAATCTACCTATACAGAAGTTTCTGAAAATTCCACGACTAGATGATAGGCACCGCCGCTGCGCTGTTTGGGGAAGTAGTTTTGCCGCACAGGAGAAAGAGAAGAAATTTTCCAGAACTTTCCTTTTCATGAAATATCTTACGCTTATTCATTCTTATTTCTTGTTATATATGGTTAGTATAAAAATTGAAGTGCTAGCTCAGTGATGTGGCAGAAGCGGTACGAAAATAATAATCGGACTGACTTTTCAGGCCAACTCGATGGGCCATGAGCCGAACAAGATCCACATCTATTCGGCAAGTTGGGGACCCACGGACGACGGGAAAACTGTTGACGGACCACGAAACGCCACAATGAGAGCAATCGTGAAAGGAGTCAATGAGGTGCCAGAACGAAATATTACTTGTTTTCTTCTTAAGAACACCCGATTCTTTGGATCGTTACCAGACTGGAGGCACAGTTTGCGATTATTGGCGCTGTGCTAATTTACCCATCGTTTGGTAGTGTCTGACCATTGCAGCCCAGTGTATCGCCGCCTCTAACATCTATAGACCGTCGTGGGCAGTTCGATGGCCAATATCACTTGCAAACAGAAGAGCCTTAGCTTGCCGTCTTGTCCCTTTTTTGGCTTTCAGAGAAGCTATAACTACACTTCCCTTTTTGTACTTCCCTGCCTACCGCTTGCAATATTGAAAAGTGCCTCTAACGAGTAGAGCATCATTAGTGGTTTCTTCCACTTCATATTTCCTCGCTATACTTTTTACCGTTTCTGTTAACGAGCCGATCCTGGCGACCATCACCTGCTCGAGCTGTTCAACAGCGTCATTCATAATATAGGGCCATGATTTCAGGGTCGTGATGGACTTGGCTCAATATTCGTATGGGCATCTGGAGACGGTGGAGAGGACGACGACTGCAACTGTGACGGTTATGCCGCGTCCATGTGGACCATTTCCATTAACAGCGCTATCAACAACGGAGAAAATGCTCACTACGATGAGTGAGTATTGAAAACGATAATATTTGGCAAAAACAAGCCCATGATTACATTTGAGGCGTCCGTTCAATCCTAATGCATCCATTTAAGCAGTCCAAAAAATTCACCCATCCACTTTTACATCGGGGTATCTGTTCCCGAAGTTATGTGGGACTTCAGACCTGCTACAAGAGCATAAAGTTTCCAAAATCAGCCTCAATCCTTTTGGCCCAGTTTTTTCGGCATAGATATTTCGACGTCAAGCAGGCGCCAATATGAGGTTTGATGTTGTCTGCGCTATATCAAAATATTTAGGTCTTGCTCGTCGACACTCGCATCAACATTCTCGAACGGTGGACGAAACCCCGAAACTGGCGTGGCTACTACGGACCTCTATGGCCGGTAGGTAACTTGTCCACAAATGCTTAAACCTAAGTTAACTAGCACTGGTCTTCAGATGCACACGATCGCATTCGGGCACATCTGCCGCTGCTCCAGAGGCCGCTGGTGTCTTTGCGCTGGCACTCGAAGCGAATCCGAAATTGACCTGGTATGCCAGATGTTTTGAACCTGTTCCTATTATAGAAGTTGATAAAAATAAAGTTCTTTATTCCATGGAATTTAAGGCGCGACCTCCAACACCTGACAGTGCTCACATCCACACGTAATTCGTTGTTCGACGGGCGTTGCCGAGATTTACCCGATTTGGGACTAACGGTAAGGGAGAGCTTATATACACTTTCCCGCTTGGGAAGCCAAATGAAGTGATTCTCTGCAGACAAACGACAATCACAAGAAGAACGCTGACGACAATTGCACGCACTTCGAATGGCAAATGAATGGAGTTGGATTGGAATACAACCACCTGTTCGGTTTCGGAGTTCTCGATGCAGCTGAAATGGTAAGTCTTCAGAACAGACATGGCCGCCGTTTTATAGGAGGGCTTCTCAGGCCTTGTCAGTGCGGTACTGCACTTTCTTTTCATTTCTCTTCTTCGAGTGTGGAAACCTAAAAATGAGTGTCCCCACAAGCACTGGACTTGGGACGGGTTTCATATGTTTTCACGTTAGCTTTGTCCTGCTAATAATAGAGGACCAGCTCAATGCAGGTAAGTTTCATTCCAGAATGCCTCGACAGCTAATGACTTCATTGCTAGATTAACTCCAAACAACTCGCTGAAAGAGCGAAAGAAAAAGGAAGACTTTCTGTGCGCTCCTGAAGGGCACGGCAGCATGGTGGAGAGGGGCTTTGCCACGTCATTGGTGGAAGGGCTACGAAAGGGTTCGTCTGCCCATACCCTACTCATTCCTTTTACTGATGACGGTGGTGACAACAGCCCGCCATAGCGATCTGCCTACCTGCCTTGTGAAACATTAAAGGACCAAGAAATGCAATGGTAGAGATAAACCTAGAGCTCAGAAGATCAACTCATGAAAGAGAAAAGTTAAATAAAGCTCAGGTACTCCTCATTCAAAGTTATTTTCACAGGTGATGCTTGCAATGGTATGGAAAACGGCTCCACCACGTTACCACTGCACTGCGGGCACCATTGACACACCACAGTGAGTTGCTATAGCAGTGAACAGGAAGTATAATGACCTTATGCTTCCTTTCTTATCTGCAGCGCAGGGTTAAAACCTTCGCGATTCTCCTGGTTTGCATTTTTCACGACTAGTTCATCAAAGTTTCCATGGAAAGGACAATTCATTGAGTTATCGTGAAGAATATTTGTGATAAAGGTGGTTGAGGAGGTCAAAGAGGCTGCCTTACTACTCGCCGTTTGCTAGCTTTCTGTGCGGTGTTTTTTTGCGTGTTTTTAAAGCCTCAGAACTGCGACCTAGTTCATTCACATATCGGTAAGAGGGCGCACATTAATTATCATAGTGTGGTGTAGTCAGCCAAGCGTCTCTACCCGTCCGGCTGCGTTTTCACAAATTATTTCATACTCACCATTTTGCTTAACGAAAGCGTAATAAAGGCACATGCAAAAACATGCTTCGCACTATTTACCCTTTACTGCCCCAGCCATCCGAAATCAGGCCAGTTCCTGACCGAATTTTTTCTCCGTGGGCAGAATTTGCTGAAAACTTGGCTCCAGGGGTAGTCAGACCCACTGAACACGAATATCGCATCCGCTTGACCCCAAACCTGGCGCCCGCGCCACGGGCGCCGGCGCCAAAATACTCAAAATCACCAGATTTGCTGAAAACTTGGCTCCAGGGGTAGTCAGACCCGCTGAACACGAATATCACATCCGCTCAACCCGAAACCTTGTAGCGCCCGCACCACGGGTACCGGCGCCAAAATACCCCAAATCCTTGGCGCCTTTGGCGCGGGCGCCAGGAAGTTTCGGGCTGAGCGAATGTGATATTCGTATTTTGGAGGTCAAATTACCTCAGGAGACAACATTTTGAGCAAAATGCTGCCACGGAGAAAAAGTCGTGTGCAGGGAACTGGCCTGGATTTCGGAGACTGGGGCAGTAAAGGGTTAAATAGGCCACAGTCTTTCCTCTAGTAGAACATTTTTATAATAATGGATACTCATGATTACAATAGGAGCAATGCCTCAGTGACTTTATGATATGAAATGAATGCTGCATATTCCAGTGAAATTCCGGAAGACGGTAATCTGATTCTGGAGCTGGATACGGACGCCTGTCTGGGCACAGCCACTGAAGTCAGATACCTGGAACACGTGCAAGCTGTGGTCTCGTTCAATTCGACGCGACGAGGTGATACAACCCTATACCTCGTTTCTCCCATGGGAACAAGGTATGTCTTATTGTTAAACAGATGCCGATTTGAATAAGAATTCATTCCTCCTCCTCCATATGAGTCTACTTCTGGCCTCATGCGCTATTCCTATTCCAGGGTCAGCTACCTAGACAAGAGGCTCATTACATATCCCTGTAGACTTAAAGCAATGACCATAGTTGACAGTGGAAGTCTTCTCAGCGCCAAGAAAATTTTGATATGAATAAGTGCCAGGCTATCTAAATAACCTGTGTTCCTTAGTATATGCCCAGATCACAGCTCTTTCGCTGGAGTATTTTCCTTTATTATTTTTAGAACGATGATTCTCTCTCGACGCCCGAAAGACGATGATGCAAAGGATGGTTTCACTAATTGGCCTTTCATGACCACACACACATGGGGCGAAAATCCAATAGGAAAATGGAGGCTTATCGCCAGATTCCAGGTAAGTCCCGACCAACTATGTATATATTGGCTGTTCCATATCCATTTCCTGAGTACAAACTATACTTGGGCCATTCAGGGTCCTGGAAAACACCGTGGTACGCTGAAGAAATTCTCGCTGATGTTGCACGGCACCAAGGAGCCACCATACGCCGGTATCGAGCCGTTACTTGGCCACGTGAACTCGAAACTACAGTGGTACAGACCGCCCACAAGAGAATCTCACCATGAGCTTGACACCAGCACATCGTCGTCACCGTCTGGATTGATATTGATTCTTAAGCTATCATTGAAGCACTCTATTCCAGGAAGCACTCTATTACATATAGTTCAACAAGTTCTCCTTCACAGGACAGATTTCTATGGCACATTCCCAGTTTTCTTTCCGGGTTCATTATCCTCCCTCTAGTCGTTCGATTCTTCCCTCCCTTCCTCTCGTTCTTCAGCCGTCGCCCACAAGCGCTGAAATTCGTCATCCTGAGCGCACTATGATCGTCGATCTCACAAACTCTCCAGTCATGCAATCGTAAGCGGTGAATAAATGGCTAACTGTTGAATGTAGATAAATGAATGCGTTACCTAATTGACTGCCTACTTTTTCAGCAAGACGAAAATATTGAAGGAGAAGGCGCAGTTTGGCGCTTGGCGGGGGCACCAAGCGGTACACAGCGAAGCTTGTACAGGCCACCTTGTGGAAACCTGTACATTCGTGTTACTTAAGAGGCTCACTCGCACCACTTTAGCGGCTTCACAAGAAGGACTCATTCTTATGAGGCATCGTAATCAGCATAAATAAGGAAGAGGAGTTGGCGAAAGTGCAGAATGCCCTTCTCTCCTGAGGCAAACAGCGCCGAAGGAAAGTAATCAACAAAGGCTCATTAAGAATTCCAAAGAAGCGAGTTCTTGAGGAAGATCTCTGTTCTCCGAGTTAATTGGTCAACCACGTTGACGTACGTCATTTGTGAAAGAGTACAAGGGAAGACAACACTAAAAAAAGAACAAAGAAGTCAAAAATCAAATGAGCGTTGAGCTTTTCATCCACAGGAAGAGGACAACCTTAGACTGCTTTGCAACCAACGATGAATGCTGTCCATGCTGCTCTTAAAGCAGGGGCTGTGCATCTGAAAAATGAATGAGCACGAACTGAATAAGAGTGTGCTGAGTCGTGAATGTTGCCGTATTGCTTGCCATTTAACTTTCACTGGTTTGAAGGGATTGTGTCGGAAATTATGAGCCCTTAAGCGATGAAGACCCGGTTGGCAATCGCAGAAATTTCACCGAGGCTCAAACCTCCCTCACCAGTTGCCAACTCGACCCACGTGAAGGTGATGGTGAGGACATTAAGTTCGTATCGTGAGACCTGTTTGACCCCCGCTTAGCATCCTGTTCTCTTATACTTCGGCAGCGGTATCTCTTGATCGAATGCACGTCTGTTTTAGTGGAATAGCCTCATTAGTGACGGTGGGCTCTTCGCCTTCGCTCTTTTCCAATACTGAAAACCCACCGTAAGGAATGGTTTCAAATACTGAGAACCCACCGTAAAGGAACGGTTTTACTAAGGACATTTATTAGGTTGGCGGGAAAGTTCTGTCACTTTTTCGAACTCAAAATATTTGCCCATTACCTGAAGAGGGGTGAACGGTAATGTGAGCACTTATACATCAAAGAGTGGTCTTTATATTAGGTTGTCCGGAAAGTTCTCAGCGTTTTGAGTGTTTCACTTTAAACGATCATAACTTTCTTAATACTCATCGGATTTAATCCAAATAAGCACCATTCGAATCAGCACACTTTTGCCAATGTGAAGCAGTCGATAAATCCCACCAAAGAAAAAACTGGGTGGTCGAGAATCCACGAAATCTACGAAGGCTTTTTTGGATGGTCCTAATTGATGAAGTATTTTCCAGCAAGGAAGTTCTGAAAATGTTTGAAAAGGTGATAGTCGGTTGGTGAAAGGTCTGGAGAATATGGCGGTGAGGTAGAACTTCAACCCCCAATTCGTTCAATTTATGGATAGTGATTTGTGAAACGTGTGGGCGGGCGTTGTCATGCAAAAGAATCGGACCCTTTCTGTTGACAAGTGCTGGCTGCAGCTGACGCAATTTTCGGTACGATTTCTTCACAGTAGGACTCTGCTGTGATGGTTTGGCCTGGTGATAAAAAGTTATAGTGGATCACACCAGCCGATGACCACCAAACCGTGACCAGAATCTTTTTTCGTGAGGGTTCGGCTTTGAAAATTACCTCGGTGGTTCGTCGAAATCCAACCACTGTCCGGAACGTCTCCTGTTATCATACATGATCCACTTTTCATCACAGGTGACAATTCGGTTCAAAAACGGGTCGTTTCTGTTGCGCAAAAGCAGTGAAGAAGAAACCTCGAGTGCCAATTTCTGCCGGTCACTCAAATTGTGGGGCACCCACTTGTCGAGTTTTTTCACCTTCCCAATGCGTTCCAGACCATCTGCAACAGTGGATTTGCCAACGCCTAGCTCTTCTGCTATCTCTCGAACTGTTTGGGATGGGTCAGCCTCCAAAAAAAATCCTCGTCAGATATTGCTTTAGGTCGACCGCTATGAGGTTCATCTTCAAGGCTGAAATCTCCAGAACGAAATTTGTTGAACCATTGTCGCACGGTGCTTTCTCCTACACTATTGGGCCCCACACCTGGTTAATTTGTCGAGCTGTCTCGAGTGCGGAATGACCTAATTGAAGAAAAATATGGTCCGAAGTTTGCTTCTTCTGACATGCTCAACAAAAAGACCTGGGTTGGCAGGCGGTTTTATCAAGCATTTGGGCGTGACACCGGCAATTATCCATACCATCAGATAGCGCAAAAAATTCTTTTCAGGATGCACTACTGAGACGCAAGGGAGAATGAGTTTTTAATCAGCAATGAATGTACAAAAAATAGTAACACAAAACCGTCACAACTTTCCGGACAACCTAATATTTGAAACAGGCACGCCACCGCGTTGTGATCATTTTCCGCTAAACGTGTTTAGCGGAAAATGATCACAACGCGACGAAAAACCAGATTAGCGACAGACTAACAAACACCGAAAAAAATGGAAGATCTGCGAAAATAAACGACAAATAAAAGAGGCAACGGTAGACAATGGACGAATGTGAGAAACGCGAAGAAAATGAGCTATAATGAATCATAAATAAATAAACAAAAACAATAATCTATAAATGAACCATAAGAAGACATGAAAAAGTAAGGAAAAAAAAAACGAAAAAAATCCATGTGCTAACACTTGAATATTAATCGTTCGCGGCCATTCGAAGGGCAATTAGAGTCGGAGCGCGCATAACGCCGAGGTATTGGAGCGAGCTATTTTACGATCCGGAGCTAGTTCCAAGCCAAACAGTCGGAAAGTATGTATCCTCCACTTGAACGCTCATAACTTCTTTGAGAGACTTTCGGAGAGGGGAAATCAGGACTGTGGAGCACTATGTTGGCACTTGTTACCTGAGTTTAATAGACTATCAAAGAAACCTCTTTTCAAGGATTTCTCTTCGTTGTTAACCCGTTGTGATCATTGGGGGTCACTTACAAGTTCTTCACGTTTTGAACTAGTATAACAATCTTCATGCAAGGCCATTTGTAAAACAAAAGCAGCGACGGAATTTCGAAGCCTTCTACTCTCCAGCAAGATTTAGATTTGGCCCTCGGTTTGCAATTCGAAGAAATCCTCGTTGTGATCATTACGCAACCCCTTTCGAACAACACGAAAAACCCACCCCTCCGACGCCATACCACTTCCAGTTCGTTTGAAGACTTTGGTATGCTTCTAAAACACATGTTTTCGCCAAGGGTATCAGAAAATAGTTCACTCGGCATAACCTCTGCAATGCGCCATGCTTAGCGCTTTCACGCAGAGGTATTGGGAGGGTGCAACTTTTAGATAGGGATTCCTTTTAGATAAGGTCCGGAAATGTATTTTCATTTGTTTATTAATTCATGACCTTGTTCCATCAACTCAAGACCATTCCTTGTGGGCAGCCATCGTATTTCCCGTCATTGTCCGTCTTTTCTGTCCGTTCCTTTCTTCGCTGGCAGGTTGCTTCTGTCTTGTGTGTGTCCGTTCAGGGGTCCTTCACATAGATAAGTCTTCAATCATTGACGCTAAACGACATCAACGCAACACTAAACGCCGCTCGCTTACGACCCCCCCCCCTCCTCCCTCGCGGTCAAATGCCCCCCGCTGTGATCATCACAACGATGGTGTGCCCTGATTTGAAAGCAGTAGGCACGATGGCTGAGAGTGGGCGGTTATTACCAGCGTGTTGGCGGAAGGGGTGAATGCGGTGTGGTTGAAAGCTCTTTCGCAGCCCTTCCACAGATGACTTTTGTAGCAACCGCCCGTTCCCAGCCATTCTGCCCGCTGCCGCTAATCTTTCTCTTCTTCGAGAAACGGTAGTAATGGACTGGTGGACACGCTCCTTCATGCTGGTCAGCAGGGACGTCTTTTAGACTTTTTCTCGTCAAATACAAACGATAAAAAGGATATGAAGGATAAGGAGGTACGGCACGCACCCTTGCTTCCATTCAGAATCATTGTGACTTATCGAATGCTATGTGGCCTATAAAATACCTTACCGGGCAAACCGATGTACAAGTCAGTGTTCTTATCCTCCCAGATGTACTTTGTACTAATCCGTCTCCGAAGGGTAGACGACTTTGTTGGCCTGGGCGGGAGTTGACCCAAGATTTGAACTCGGGAACGCGTGAATGGTAAGCGTGCCACCTGCCCACTACATCCAACCTCACCAGCACGGCTATACAGGTGGGGGAGGGAGGGGGGGTAAAAAAAGACATTTAGACCGAGTCACATATCAGCAAAGTTTTCGCTGCCCAGACAGCAGACGTGGATATGGTTACCAGAGCGGAAGATACTCAAGTTGTCCCTCGATAAGTAGGAGCTGGCTCTCACCCATCAGCTTCATGTACGCCAAAATATGAAGTCATCTCCAGTCGCAGCCTGCTGGAGAAGACCTTTAAAATTCATGTCACCTCCAAACAGCTGCGAAACTTCTAGTATGGAGTCACCCATGGATAGCTACCTGGAGAGCAGTACTCTCGATCTGGAAGACCTCCATCATCGAGCAGCTCCGACAACGTCACCACGGGGACATCATCTTCACCACAGTCGCCAAGGCGCCAGTTGATGGTGGGGACCGGACGTACCTGGAATGGAAAGACCGATATTTTCTTCGTGGGCCCCGGACTGAAGGTGAGCGCTGGCGGTTACATCGAGCAACTCGAGAAGAATATCCTCTCCACATGTCGTCGTACCTTCTTGGAAACTTTGTACTGCTACAGGATTGGGTGACACCACATGGAATCAAAGGGCGTTGGGAAAACTCTTGCCTACTTGGAATGGAAGGGCGTTGAGTACCTGA